CCCCGCCCCAGGAATGCAGCGGCGGCGGCGGGCGGGGCCGGGCCTGGAGAGGGGGAGGGCACGATCGCTGCGGCCCTGTCTGCTCACCCTGGCCCTCCTCCCACGACAGGGGCCGGGGAGGGGGTTTGGTGGTAGTCTCTAGCTGTCTGGGGAGCCGCAGAGCCCTTTGCTTCCCCTCCCCTTGTCCGGAGACCGCCCCAGCAGGCGACCTGTTTGGGTGACGCCGGCCCTGGTTTGGGTTCAGATCCTGGTGTCACCTTTGCCATGCTGTGTGGACCTGGACAAGCTGCTTGACCTCTCTAGGTCTGTCTCCACCTTTGTAAAATGGGGTTGGTGCTCACACCCACCTCATGGGTCCAGGGTTGATGACTGTGATCATATGTGTGGTGGGTTAATAGGAAGGACAGCCTCTTTAGGCGCTGCCCACCTGGGTTCTGGACTATCTCTTTGTTTCCCCCCATGCCTTGCTAGCCTTCCACTAGCTGTCCACTTTCTCTTCCCTTTCCTGGGAGGCAAGAGGACCAGGGAAGCGGAGCATGCAGTCTGCCACTAAACTTTCACATACCCACTGTGTGCCAGGCCTGTCATAGCAGCAGTGCCCGGCACCCCTGTCCCCATGATGGAGACACACAGCCCAGAAAAGCAAGTGCGTCTAGACATCCAGCAAGAGCTGAGGAGTCCTGTTTCTTTTAGAGTGATCTAGGAAGAGCAGTAGGGAAGTGGTGAGTGTGCATGGACCTGCAGGAGAGCCAGCAGGGTGCCCAATCTAGATGTCCTAGATGGGAGGATGGAGGTGAGGCCAGAGCAGGCCACATGGGGTCTGCCTACTGCTTAAAGGATTTAGGCATTTTTTTCTGAGGGTCATGGGACCCCCCTCCCCAGGGGCCTTGTACAGAAGAGGGGTGGGATCTGACCTGGCTTGGCTCCCATGTGACAGATGCACTGGGGGGCAGGAGGACAGATTCTGGGGCCAGTTAGGAAATCAGAAGAAGACAGGGAGATGGAGGGTGGCTCTTTTGAGGCTGGGGCAGGGCAAGGGAGAAATGGTCCCATCATAGTGTAGTTTGGAAGACAGAACCAGTGTACTTCTTCATGGATCTGGTGTGGGCAGGAGAGAGGAGTCAGGGATGTCTCTCAGGGATCCAGCCTCCCTGCCTGGAAGGACAAGGGTTACCTGAAACTGGGAAGGCTTGGGGTTCAGAGGAGGTCAGGAGTTCAGTTTTGGACCAGAACATGTGACATACGCAAAGTCCCCTTGTGGTGACCTCATCCAGTGGGTAGTTGGGTTGGCAAGTTTGGCTTTGAGGAACCCTGCTAAAGGGTCCACAGTGTCAGCTTCATAAGTGTTCTGATAGGACCCGGCAAGCTTCCCAAGGGAGCTAATGTGGACAGAAGGGAGGAGATGTGAGGACAGGGACAGAAACCAGAGGAGGACTGTCCAGGGAGGCAGATGTGAACTATAGGGGGTGTGACAGGCAGAAAAGCCTTCTTGACTGAATTTGGGAGAGAACAGAACAGGAACAAGCACAGTGTGTAGACTTTAAGATGGAAGAACTTGATGCTGGGCATGGTGGCTGAAGCCTGTAATTCCAGCACTTTGGGAGGCAGAGGTGAGAGGATTGCCTGAGCCTGTGGGTTCGAAACCAGTCTAGGCAACATGGCGAGACCTCATCTCTATGATAAATAAAAAAAAATTAGCTGGCACATGCCTGTGGTTCCAATTACTTGGAAGGCTGACACAGAAGGATCACCTGAACCCAGGAGGTCGAGGCTGTGGTAGCCGTGAGTGTGCCACTGCACTCCAGCCTGGGTGACAGAGTGAGACTCCAACTCAAAAAAAAAAAAAAAAAAAGATGGGAGAACTCATGGAGGGTGTGGGTCATAGAAGAAATATTGATGCACAGAGGGAGGGGCAGCTGGGCCTGGGCTGTGACCTGGTTCCCCAGGGTCTCTCACCAACGTAGAGTGAGCATGGGAACTGCTCCCACATCGGGCCGCCTTTCCCCACACCTCTTGGTAAGGTCTTTAGAGGGCGGACTTATCTCCGAAGCCTGGCCTCATTCACCAACCCTTTCAAGGAGAGCTTTTTGGTCTTGGTGAACCCAAATGGGCTCTGTCCTATCGCTGGGTATTAGCTTTGCTAGGGTGAGGCCTGGGTGCCCACCGTGCTAGGAGTAATCAAATGGACTCACAGGCTTCCTGGACCCTATGCCAGAACTCCCAGGTTCAGCACAGGCTCTGGAGCAGACTGACTTAAACCATAGCTGAGACTGAGCTGTTAGTATGTGCAAAGCACTTCATACATCTTGGCTCCCATAACCTTTCTGCGAACCCCATGGACCCCATTGTATAGCGAAGGAGTCTGAAGCTCAGAGAGGTTAAGCTCCATGCCAGAAGTCACACAGCAAGAGGCAGACCCAGGCATCAAACCCAGCTGAGTGTGGCCCTAAAACCAGGCTCCTAGCCACAGAGCCATGAGTCCAAGGCAGAAGGGGGTCAGTGCTCCCAGGGCCATCCTAGCAGTCCATCTGGTGAGAATGTTCTCAGAAGGACAACTGCAGAGGCTCTCCATCCAAAGAACAGGGTTCAGAGACAGGCATGAGTGGAAGGGTGATGGGCTGCCAGACCTGAGTCTCCCTGCAGATGGGTAACTGGGAACCCCCAGGTTAGGGAGATGGGTGGGTGGAGATGATGGGGGAAGGAGGCAGGAAAAGCCAGGCCTGCTTTGTATTCCTGTCTGTGGGTTCTTTTTTTTTTTTTTTGAGTTGGAGTCTCACTCTGTGGCCCAGACAGAGTGCCGTGGCCCACTCCTGGCTACCACAGTCTTGACCTGCTGGGCGCAGGCGATCCTTCTTCTTCAGCCTTCCAAGTAGTTGGAACTACAGTTGCGCTACCACACTCAGCTAATTTTCTATTTATTGTAGAGACGAGGTCTTGCCAAGTTGCCCGGGTAGGTCTTGAACCCGCGGGCTCAGGCAATCCACTAACCACGGCCTCCCAAAGTGCTGGGATTACAGGCTGAGCCACTGAGCCTGGCTCTGTCTGTGGACTCTAGTTTGTTTGTTTGTTTGTTTGAGTCGGAGCCTCAATCTGCTGGGCTTCGGCGATCCTTCTGCCTCAGCCTTCCAGGTAGCTGGAACCATAGGCATGTGTCCAGCTAATTTTTCATCATTTATTGTAGAGAAGAGGTCTTGCCAAGTTGCCTAGGCTGGTCTTGAACACTTGGCCTCATGCAGTCCTCTGCCTCCCAATGTGCTGGGATTATAGACATGAGCCACTGCGCCTGGCTCAGTTTCTAATTTTATTTATGGAAAAAACACAGGAGCTATTCCCCAAAATTTGGAGTTTTATGGTCCTATTCCCCAGGTCGCATCTTGGGGCCTCAGTGCCCTCTCCAGGGTGTAGCAGTTATCTTGAGTTGAAGAATGGTTGGGGCATCTTCTGCAGTCTGGGTGGCAGTATACAGTGCATGGGATGGGGCCAACCCACCCCCCAGGTTCCTCAGGCCCCCTCCTAAACTCTTCCCACCCCCACAACCTGGTTCTGGATTCAGATCCTGAAGGAGCACACTCCTTTTCTCTAATGTGTGAATGGCTGCTAGGATTGAGGCAAAGTTCTCCTGGGTCTGATGGGGCCCTGGGAACCAGCAGCCTCAGTGGCTGTTTCTTCTCAGCCTCCTCTGCTTCTGAATGTAGGCTCACCCCAGCTTGGCTCCTGTGCACTCCCTCCAGCCCTACAAATCTTAGTTTGCACATACCCTATCCACCCAGCGTCTTAGTGACTGCTCCATCCTGAAATGCTACCATTAGATATGACCTTCCACTGAGGCAACATCATGGACTTTGTGAAGCCAAATAAAATGAAACAAGAGTAAAACAATAAGCCTAAGTAGATGCTCTAATATCTTCTTCCTCCACCTTAAGTCTTCCCCTGGTGCTCTGGAGTCTCACAGCACAATTGCCTTATGCCCAGGGACTCGCCATGTACCCGCTCCTTCCCTAGCCACTGGGTGGATTGCCTCCCTCCAGTAGCCTCCTCCACCAAGTGACACCTCATTGGGTCCATACCCTACCCTGTGCAGAGTCTACCCCTCCACCCTGGCCCTCAGCCCCAGCTGAGAATCCAGATGTGTCCCTTTGGTCTAGCTAGTTCTAGAGCTCTCAATCATGTCACATCTGGATCTCTGAAATCCATCAGGCTGGGAGCCCCCACCCCAAGGGACATCCTAGACCCCTCACGTTTGAGCAGATTCTGGAGGCCCAGGTCTCCCCCCCCCCCCCCCGAATCCACTGCTGTCCCTCCTGGGACTCAGAGCCTCTTCTTAGACCATAGGTCTGTGGGGAAAAGCTCATAGGCATTTGGTGGGATGGGGAGGGGTGAGGGGTAGGAGGCTGAGAAGTTCTTGGAGGTTAGGTCGGTTTGTGGCCAGTCCTGTACAGCCTCCCAGTGTCTGCTCCCCAAGTGCTGGAATTTGTGTCTTCTCTACTCACTGGGAGTCTCCTGCCTCAATGACAGTGCCTAGCAGGACCTCACTAACCACTGCCCTAGGGCAGGACCACAAATGCAGAGGCAGGGAGGCTGTGTGGAGGCTGCTGGGAAGCCCCCAAGCGGATGGGAGCTGGGGGAGGATGTCAGGCTCAGGCATCCTGCCTCTGCTCACAGCTCCCAGGTGCCCATGTGCTGCGCCGGCTGGAGGCAGCAGGGAGACGAGTGTGGGATCGGTGAGTCGGGCATCCAGGGACCTGGGCGGGGGCGGGGCAGGACTCGAACACGCGGCAGCTCGGCCCCTCTCGTTCACAGCGGTGTGCGAAGGCAACTCCACGTGCTCGGAGAACGAAGTGTGCGTGCGGCCGGGCGAGTGCCGCTGCCGTCACGGCTACTTCGGTGCCAACTGCGACACCAGTGAGCGCGGTGGGAGGAATCCGGGAGAGATGGGGCGGGGCCTGGCAGAGAGGCGGGGTTAGGGGGTGGGCCGGGGTTGGATCCGGCTTGAGAGTGGGTCCCCAGAGACCGCGGCGAGAGCGCGGGGCGCGGGCAGGTTTTCGGGTGGCGTGGCTGGGCTGGGGCACCCACACAGACACTGGGGCCTTCCACCCCCTCTGTTCGTCCCTGCAGAGTGCCCGCGTCAGTTCTGGGGCCCCGACTGCAAGGAGCTGTGTAGCTGCCACCCACACGGGCAGTGCGAGGACGTGACGGGCCAGTGTACGTGCCACGCGCGGCGCTGGGGCGTTCGCTGTGAGCATGCGTGCCAGTGCCAGCACGGCGCGTGCCACCCGCGGAGCGGCACCTGCCGCTGCGAGCCTGGCTGGTGGGGCGCGCAGTGCGCCAGCGCGTGCTACTGCAGCGCCACGTCTCGCTGCGACCCGCAGACCGGCGCCTGCCTGTGCCACGCAGGCTGGTGGGGGCGCAGCTGCAACAACCAGTGTGCCTGCAACTCGTCGCCCTGCGAGCAGCAGAGCGGCCGCTGTCAGTGCCGCGAGCGCACATTTGGCGCGCGCTGCGATCGCTACTGCCAGTGCTTCCGCGGCCGCTGCCACCCTGTGGACGGCACGTGCGCCTGCGAGCCCGGCTACCGCGGCAAGTACTGTCGTGAGCCGTGCCCCGCCGGCTTCTACGGCTTGGGCTGTCGCCGCCGGTAAGCGCGAGGCCC